ATGATAGGGCTGAAATTTCGCGCGCTCAGGAACGGCGAAATGACAAGTGATATAAGTGCTCCTATGAATATCGTTCTTTTTATATCACTTGTCATTTCGCCGTTCCTGAGCGCGCGAAATTTCAGCCCTATCATTTGTGGAAAATAATCGCTTCTAATTTAAAAACTATTATAGCCTCGACACTTTTGTATTAAGATTTTCGTCTGGAAATGTTCTAAGGAATCTGTCATTAAGAGGACCTCCGGTGGTTTTAGGACACCCTGTATATATTTCACGTATAACAATGCATTTTTTAAGCAGGAGTTCTTTGTAAAATTTTGAGTCCGCTAATATCAGAACGCGCCAATGCGACGGCAGATTTTCGTATATAACATGTAATCAGCACAGCAGTTTCGAACCAATTTTTTTTATGTTTACCTCCAGGCAGTGTGGCCCTTCACACCTTCCCATTTTTTTCTCATCACTCAAAGGTGATTTTACGACTCGCGTCCACGAAGCGATGGGCAACGCCCTCCCGAAAATCTAAGGCAAGCTGATCCACATACTTTGCGGAGCGTACAGCGGTGAACTATTGTTCTTTGCCATCGCTGCGGTATTCTATACCACGAATTATTTGTCGCTCATATTATTAATGTCCGCGATGCGATTCCATTTATTATCCATTTGCTGCGAGAGGACTTGACGACGCGCACGAGCAATTTTTCATGTAGCGCTATGTCCGATAATAAAAAGAGATAAGAAGGCCGACTTTCCAGGCAAGCCCCGAGCGCGTATCTAATTCATTACAGATTCGATCGATCTTCTTCCTCGATCCGCAATGCACGCGGCCCAGGCGCTAACGAGACAGCTCCAGAGCCATTAAGATCCCGGCTTATCGTGATCGGGATGCAGCACGCGAAAAGACCCGTTTTCCAAATTGAAAACGCGGCGATATCGCGGCGGACAATCGCCCCGGCAAGGCGTATCTGCTTGCCCTCTAATCGCCAGTTAGTCCCGAGCCCAAGCGCCGCGATCTGCCGATTTATCGATCCTCGGAATTAGCATTCGAGGCGTGCATCTCGGCCGCGGATCTCTCCGGGCCACAGCCACGTAAATTTTAGGGCTGCCCTCGCAACTCGGGGATAGATCTCAACCGTGATCTATGCGTAAATCATCGCTCGCCCCCCTCCTCCTCCCCCGACAAGTAGATCGCGCACAATACATTCACCCGCGGTACGGCCGGAATATAATAAATCAGGAAATATTAATATCACGATATAATGACGGCTCTTGCGCCAAAGTTTGCGCTTCAATCGACCCCGATTACTTCGGAACGTTAAGACGCAACGGAGAGCCGCGTGCATCGCGTCGCCCGGAGTGGCGGAAAGTTCTAATCCCGCGGCCCCACGAAAACAGACGAGGCGCGTGGCCATATTTTACGGGCGGGGGCGTGAAACGGATAATTTTCGAAGGAAGCAATATCGGATCGTATATCAGGCCGCCGTTCGGCTTCAAATTATCGGAAACGAGGGCCAAAACTAATGGGGCCCTCGTTTAGACCATTTGGCTCCTGCGGGGCACGCCGATGCTGATTCACGCCAATCCGCTCGCTATTTTCGCGCCATACGAGCCAAATCCAGTCGCTCCTCGCATCATCAGACACACCCCTTGGCGAAATTTACTTTAACTGAAATTAAAGTTTTTAAAAGTACTAGACAACACAAGAGCGCGCTTCGCGCGCGCCATTTGCTCTCTCTAAAAATTCGCATGGTATAACAGCTGCAAATAACACAAGTGAAACATGTCGTATCGCACAAGCGAGACAGCCAATCAGCATCTCGGCAATGCGACAACAATACTTCCAGACTTTCGACTCAACACGTCTTTTTTTTTATAGGAGGGTATAGGATAGAATAGGCGAGGAGAGGATCTTCCAAATCTAAGGGTAAAGAAGTTAAAAGTTTACTTAAGAAATTTTAGAGTAATTTTTAGACAGCCCAAGCCTGTCGAAGTTCCCGCTAGAGGACCGCGCGGCAAAGCACTTTCTCGTAAGAGAAAAACCGCACGCGGTATTGTAAATTATATCGCATACTTTTCATCACAATTCTTAAAGTTTTCTGTTCAATTTTTAAATTTGAGTTTACCTCAAAGAAAAGTTTAAAGTGTCCAAATTTACTTTTCACATTTCTTATTTTTCTAAAGTAAAATGTTAAAGTTTCCTAAGGTATATTTTCCCAAGGGACATCCGACATCCGAGTAAGGGCGCTACACAGAGACACGGAGAGGGAATACATTTCAACATTTATGTGGTTGTTAACGTTTTCAATTTACTGAAGACTACATTGTCAAGCGCGTAAAGCTAGCGCCACACTATGCGCAATTCGTAATGCGTGATTCGTGATTCGCACACTGAGAAAAATATCCGATTAAATATAATTGGATAATTCAATTACATAATAACAAACGGATATATTCATTTAAGTACATCCGATGAAACATATAATCGGTTTTTCGATTAAATTTCTTCGGTAACTGCAATTTTATTGGATAAACTTCGTCGAATATATCCATAATTTAATCGGAAGGTTTAATCGGAAAAGCCGATGATTAATTTTTCCTCGGAAACACTACTTACTCGATTTATCCAATGAAAATTGTTCTCAGTGTACGAATCACGAATCGCGCATTACGAATCGCGCACAGTGTAGCGCCAGCTTAAAATGTACGCACGGCGAATGATTAGTACTACCAGATTTGATTCTTGGTGGGTCTCCACGGCGTGTTGTCGCAGACCGTCCCAGCGATTGCCGTCTGAACCGGCATGGTGAGTATTCTGAAGTTCACATCCGTGTAATTCAGGGACGATAGCAAGAAGATCGGCATCCGATCCGACATGATCCAGAGTAAGCCGCGTTTCACCTACGGGCGGTAAAGAGTGAGCGAGGAGGTAAATGAGGATGACGGGGCTTCATAGTAGGTAATTATCCCCCATTACACAGCGCCGCGCACCTTAATATCTGCTGGGAATATCAGAGCCTCGTCGTGTCTGGCGACGATCGCTTGATTGATCGGCGCGTAAGGTAACGCAGAATTCCAACAGCCGATCGCGTTCTGATCGATTAAGTTGAAGAACTGAAGTCCGTTCTCGTCCATTACGGATGCCGTGCAATGAGAGAGCGGCCCTCTCGACGACAAGACCTACATCGCATAAAAATGAATAATGAAATGAGATAACTGTATTTAATTCGTAATGGCTAGATTAGATCGGAGAAAGGAAGACATAAATAAATGTTTTATGCGGCATTACTCGAAATACGCTAAAAGACGCACCGGACTCGGAAGAAGAAATAGAAGAGGAATTTTTAAAAATCGTAGAGTATTGAACAAAGTCTTGCAATTATAAATCCTACAATATTGAAGCGACTTTAATTTTTTTAAACACAATATTGATATATAACACCTGAAAAGACGTCAAGATTACTCGAAATACGCTAAAAGACGCAGCGGTCTCAAAAGAAGAAATAGAAGAGGAATTTTTTAAAAATCGTAGAATATTGAACAAAGTCTTGCAATTATAAATCCTAAAACATTGAAGTGACTACTTTAATTTTTTTAAACACAATATTGATATGTAACACCTGAAAAGACGTCAAGATTACTCGAAATACGCTAAAAGGCAGCGGACTCAGAGGAAGAAATAGAAGAGGAATTTTTTAAAAATCGTAGAGTATTGAACAAAGTCTTGCAATTATAAATCCTAAAATATTGAAGCGTCTTTAATTTTTTTAAACACAATATTGATATGTAACACCTGAAAAGACGTCAAGATTACTCGAAATACGCTAAAAGACGCAGCGGACTCAGAGGAAGAAATAGAAGAGGAATTTTTTAAAAATCGTAGAGTATTGAACAAAGTCTTGCAATTATAAATCCTAAAACATTGAAGTGACTACTTTAATTTTTTTACACACAATATTGATATATAACACCTGAAAAGACGTCAAGATTTTATTGTGAACATTACGCTCGCTAAGCGAGCGTCATTTGGCATTATCCTTATTTTTACATTTTAGAGTAGATTGTTCCATTCTTTTGTTCAATTAGTTAATAGTTAAATCATTTTAATTGATAATTAATACATTATAATTATTTATTAATATTACCTGTCATCTTCAGTCATGCTCACTAAAGTGATAGATATCATTTCCATGTATTCTGCTTATTTTTTCAAACTATCTCTCATTTTTTATTAAATTTTACTTTGTATCGTTCTCCTTCATTTGCTTAGACGTTATTTAACTTTAACTCTATGTTTTTTTCTAACCTTCTTTAAGTACATTTTTTCACAAATTATCAAGATTCGAATGCAAGGTGAAGCATGACATGAACGCTTCGAGACCAATCGGCATCGCGGAAAGAGGCCTCAACTGTTCGATATTCGCGCCGGTAACGTCTCTTTTTTTTAGAAAGGGAACAGCTCGACAAAGAGTCTGGGCAGAAACTCTACCCGAAATAAAAAAATAAGTTTTTTCCAAACGTGACCGTCAAACAAAGATGTTAAAAAGAATATACCTGAAACTCGTGGTAACTACTTTGAGACAACTGCTGGTCTCTCAGAATCCTCGTGGACACGGCGAATTCTCGATAGCTGCTGAGAGGATGAAAGAAAAGCGTCCGATAGCCGTCTGTTAGTATCTGCGACAGGCTCATTCCGAAAATGCCTTCGGTTCCCCATTGAAAGTTCAGGCCTCCTATATTGTAATCACCCGCCAGAGGATCCGGCATGAAGTAGCTGTGCGCTATTCGCCAGGACGTATTTTGCTGCCACGAGTACACGATCAGGCCGTAGCCGAGTTCGTCGGACATGTAAGCGAAGGCGTCGTTGCAACCGCCTTTTCCCAGATCGACCGCGATGTTGGCGATAAAGGTGTTCTGGGCGACAAAACGAAAATTGTAAAATTCGCAGAGGGTCGAAAATTAAAAAAAAACATCGGACAAATGTGAAAAAAATTATATACTTGATTGATGTCCTCCGATCTGAGCTTGTATTGCCTCAGCAGCTTATCCGTGGTCAAGTCGAACACGTTCAAGGTGTAAGGGCAGACCTGTACAGTCGTTTCGTCTATTCCTATTGTTCCAGTGTCCAACACCCACAATCTGTCGCACGCGTCCGCGTGAATCCTGGAGAAAGATACTTAACTTAATAAATAACAAATACTTTGGATGGTCCTAAACCTTCTGTTTGTCACCTGTAAACAGTGGTCAAGCCGCTGCCACAAAGACCAGCCTTATTCTGGGCCCAGTTCGGATAAGGTATGAGTTTCGGCGATCTACCTTGATTAGCGTCCAACGGTACATAATTTAACGTTGACGGTATTCCTAATACGAAACATGTTACAAAACGTTACTCACAATCTATCGTTACGTTCTCATCCTGGTTGCGATTCTTTATAATCATTTTTGGAGGTAGGAATAATCAGTATTAAAATTATAAAACGAGAAACGAACGTTACAGCATGTCAGAAGATCGATTCGTAACTAGACGGTGTAAAAAAAAGGACGCAAGAGAAACATAAGGAATGCGCGAGAGGAAGGAATTGCGGAGAGTCCGCGAGGGTCTCCGAAGGAAGTAAAGGGGAGACGGACGGAAGGGTAGAACATTAAAGATCTTACACAGCGTGCCGCCGTCATTGTCCGGCCTTTGTGCGAACACAAAAAACGGTGGCGCGCGCCAACGTATATAATAAACATAGAGCGTGCAAAAAGATGGAGTGAATAAAGGGCAGCGAGGGCTTGAATAAACCCGTTCGTCGCCGAGTTTCCCCTCCCTCGGGGGAGCGGGAGGTGGGGGGGGGGGGGAGGAGAGAGAGAGTGTCGGAGGGACCGTGAAGGTGGAGGCGGAGGTCGACAAAGACAGAAACGCTCCCATTGAGAGCACACTCGCGGTTTTCGGCGCTTTTTGTCGCGGGCCGGAAGTCGCTCAGACGGGAATCGAGGCGTGTACCTCCTATGGCGATCTTCCGCGCATTATGCCGGCGTCTGCTTCCGGTTCATGACTTTGAAGCGTCGCGCCTCGTTTTTTGGGCAAGGAGCCCATTTGTCTGTCGCGCCGTATAAGACGTTAATCGAGACAATAGGCAAGGCCCACAATTAATGACTAATATTTCGGACATTCACCGTCGCGCCATCGTGGTATCGTGACGAACAGCTTATTCCTCCAGATTTCGATGCCGACTGGCAGAGAGTTCTCCGGCACGTATTCGCCACTCGCTATCGCCAACTGCCGGCTGCGCTCGTCGGGATAAGCAAAGTCCATCTTCTTCCAAGTGAACCTCTCCAAGAGCGGAGCACGCCCAAACTGCACGCCCCACACTTGAGCCCCATCGATATTCACGGTCCACAGTAACAGAAAGGTCGAAACGAGGGCGCAATTCCAGATGCGATAATTTCCCATTTCTGCTGGTCGATCTCTTCTTTTCTGTATGCAAAACGGTTATTTGCCTAGTTGTCTTAAAGATATTATTATGCAGTAATTGAGAAAAGTAATTTGACATGCATGTCAAATTAAAGACATTAATTCATCATGCCTGGTCGTATTTAGAAATAATAACTGGTGAAACTGTCTTAGCAAAAAAAAAATATTAGTCGACTGTGCACATACCTAATATTTTAATATGAGCGCGTGCACTTGTCGCTTTTTTTTCATAGACACGAACCTGTATTAGCACTTGGCTAATACAGGTTTTTAATTAGATACGCACTAATACAAGTTTATAATTAGACAGCCTGCGTATACGTGTGCATGTTTACATGCACTTTTGATTTTATGCAATAGTCTTCGCAAACGAAAAGCGATATAGTAATTACTTAATCACCGTTGAGCTAAAAAGGATACGAAGGATTATCGGTTATGTCATCGAAATTTCCCTCGGTGAAGGGGATAGAGCATTGCGACATATATTTACTACTATCCTTATCATTTCGCTAACCAGTTTGATGTTTATCGTAGAAATGAATATTGTGACATATTTATCTCGCCTAATGTAGGGTACAAGAAAATATATTACCGTAATATGGAAATTAACTTTCCAGCGCAATTTTGACAAACTCAATTAGATAATAATATGAAAAACAATTGAAATTTATTTATTGCTGACAAGTCAAGTATATCTTCTCTAATAACGGCTTATATACAATATAAAAAAAATAAATTATATATATATTAATTATATATTTTATATCAGAGGTAAACAATTAATTAATTAATTTGAATCGTGCTTGAACCAGAAACGTCCAATAGTAGACTAACAAGAATATTTTTCAATGTCGCCAGCGGTAATTAACAACTTCAGTGTTTTGTTTTATCATATCTGGCATTTTTTATCTTCAATGCTCACAACGTTTCGACCGTTGTGGTCCTTTTCAAGCGAACTGAGTCATGTCATGGATGTAAAATTATGTGTATATAATTCATCCATACGAGATTGTGGTCATATAAATGTTGCACATGTTCTATAGAATTGTGTGACAAGAGACACCTTCGTTTGATGGGTGACCAATAATAGCTAAAAAAAAGAGCGCAAAGTGATTTTATCGCACGACAATGCTCGACCGCACCTTGCAAAGACAGTTAAGGATACATTATCGTATTCATCAGACTGTGCTCCTTCCTATTATCACTTATTTCGATCTAAGCAGCACAGGTTTGCTAATCAGCACTTCGAATCATAAGAAGAAGTACAAAAGTGGCTTGATAAGTAGATTGCTTCGGGGGATATCATTTCTTTTATCGCGGGATTCACTTGTTGCCCGAAAAATTGAAGAAGTTACAGCTAGCCATGGAAAATATTTTAAATCAAATACAATTTAACATCTCTGTAAAATAAACGTGTTTTTCTTGCAAAACATTCCTTTAAAACTAACCGGAACACCTATTATAATCCACAAAATAATAATAATGTATAACTTGTAAATGAGATTCTTCTTCAATCTATTTTCATTGAGGTACACGGTTCCGCTACAACTACTTCATACCGTCTGATATTTACCACGTTTATCCGACGGTCGAGCGCGGCATCAGCCTGGACCCTTCCTCTGACGGCAGGAATAACGTAGATCAATGTGGCAGCGAATCCGAAGTTCCGAAGTAAATAAACGCGGTGAACGAAATGGAGAACGGAGTTGCCAATCCAGGATACTTCAGTCTCCTAGAAAGCCGCTGTCGCTCTTTCAGTCCTAAACTGCGTGTTCCTGTAAAACGCTCGCCGTATATATGGCGAACACCCAGCCCTATGCGAAACCGTGCCCCATACCACGTGGAAACCTATGCCCCGCGCACGGAGAGAAATGCATCTTGGCATTGGTGCATGTACACCTACGTTCGCGCACTTTCCAGGCTGTCAATCAGTACGGATATCTTGTGCACCTGCACTTATGTGTTTCGACGCGGCGATTTAGTTGATTGCAGGAGAAGGATTTCACGCGTGCCTTAACGTTTCGGTATCGGGTCCATCAACGTTCTCCATCAACAATCATAATCTGTTGTACAACTTTGGAAAAATCGCACGTTATCCCATTTGTTGGCAAATTCAATATCGCTTCTTAGATTGCATTACTCAGAAATAAAATTGTTTTACGTATAATATTTAATACAAGCTATAAAAATTTAATCCTTTTTTTTCCTTGGTTGTTACTTTATTAGCCTCTGCGTATCTAACAGTCGCCGTTTGTAGAAGGCAATATTTTCAAATTATGAAGCAAAGAGTGATAGATTTATTCCTTAAACAGATACTTTCGTAACCGTAATTAGAACATAACATCACGGCATAATTAAATAGGTGTAACACAAATGGTAATAGCGAGCCGGCTGGTTGTGATTTCTCCAGTTTTTTCTTCGCATTACAAATACTTCACAGCTAAGTGCGCGCTGCAAGCTACAGACCAGTTAATGTGCTACATGTGGCTATTTTCGCCATAATTGAATACAATCCGAACGGACTGGCTGTTCGTAATGACAGCGTAATGACAGCGAGGTGCAAACAAGATTTCTACAAATAACAGAAAAGACGTAATGACTGTCGATGCGCTCATGATCGATGCGAGATACACGGCCGTTATTTCGGCATTAGCCGCGCGAGCGATGCGATTAAATTGAATCTGATAGCGATTTAATTAAATTCATAAATCTCCGGGCGCGCCCATCGGGGAACGTCGCGTCGCGGGCGCGCGACGACCGTGGAAACGCGGGCGGGCATTGCGAGCGCGTTCGGGGGGCAGGAAAGTCATTCGTTAGCCGTAACGAGGTGACGACAAAAAGCCGCCGTCTGTCTCACGGATGATCGGCTCCCGAGAATAAATTCCCGAGGGCACTCCGTTATCTTCCCGCGCGAAACTGACGGCTGAAATTGCGTTCAGCCCTCTCCTCCCTGCCCGCCCCCCCTCACCTCTCCGCTCTCCTATCCCTTTCGCCCACCTCGCCGCGTTTCATTAATCAGCACGCCCTTCCTGAAGGGCGCAATCAGAATTCGCGAAAATGAATAATTGCCGGCGGGCGAAAAATATTATTCCGGCTTAATTATCGATGACGCGCGACATTAACGGTAAAACCGAATTGCAATGTACGGCCGAATTAATGCGCTGCGTGATGGCGGGATGTGTAGCTGCGAGTAATTTAACGTGAACTCAACGTCGTGTCATCGAGTTTTTACTCCCGGCTCGAGTTCGATTTGCACCGTAAATCACCCCGAGCCAGGAAGTATTCGTCTGCCTTCCTCTACGCAACGCCGAGCTTATTACAGCGGTTATAAGTTGCCGATGATTTGAGAATAATCATCGAGAATGAGATACGCCGACGTGTAATCTCGTTAATCCAGTGGCACTTCGGCTTCCTATTTTCAAAGAAATCGAAAACCCAAGCGGCTTCCAGTTTACCGTCGCCAGAGACGTAAATAACCTGCAGTCTGAACGAAAATCACGTCGTATCAATTTTGCACTTAAAATCGCCAATGCGCTTTGCATTCATCGACGTCAAAAATATTATAAACGCGTGACAGAGCGACACGACGCAAGATAGCAGTCACGCCCTGTCAATTTTAATCTTCCTCTTGTCCGCATTCACCTTCCATCGCCGTCGGTCCCTCAAACAGAAGGATTGTTCGAAATCGAGCCGACAGTAAATGTATGCACAATAATTTACCTGGATTTGACGTCTTTTTATGAACCAGATCCATGAATTTTGCATAATTTAATTGATCAGCAGTCATGCAACGGTACGCAAAGAAAAGTTCACGACGCGGTTCGGTGCATGGCACGTTCTTATCAATCGTCGTCAGCTCCATTGGTCGTTCGTGGATAATCTACCTGCAACTTTCGTCACAGCCGCAAAGTTAATACGGACCGACTTTGCCGAGTCACTTTCTTGCGATCGTAGATCGCCCCATCAAGGCTGCCTAGATTGCTTCCCGGATCGCCCGCGGACTTTCTAGTTGACATGATAATTTAAAAGCGGCCACACGCGCTCGGATCTCCGTCGCCCATCATTCTCTCATCAGACGCATTTTTGCGGGTTATTAAAATTTCAAGACTTTCGGGATTTTCGGAAATATATTATTACGGAAGCGCACCCTCAAAAAGGATTTCTGTTACCGAGACAAAAAATATTCTTCACGCATTTATATCTCTCACAAACTCATTTAGTATGAAAACAAGACAATATCAAAATAAAATCAATAATTCTTATTCTCCTCCATCGAATTAAAAAAGATTTTCCCTTCGTCTTACAACGCACGAAGTTGGCACCGCGATTCGACAAAAGACGATACATGCTATCATTTTATTCTACATTTTAGATCTTGATGCAATATTGTTCTGAAGAGTACTCTTACGATTAATATAAATTAGATAATATAAAATAGATTCGAAAGATTATAGTTTGAAACGCTGTGCCACATCTCTTACACTACACTCATGTCTACTACATAATTCTTCCCATTTGTCAGTTTTAGCTGTTTATATTGTTAAAACAGAACGATCAATAATTTTGATTTTTTTTCAGTTATTCGTTCTATTTTACTTTATAACACATTTGTTTCTCATACGAGTCTCACTCACTGTTAAGCTTAAAAAAAAAGTGCCATCATTGGCGTTTGCAAACGCAAATATTAATATTTTAACACATAATAATATGTTTAAATAATATTTCACGTGTAATAATATTTTTAACGTGTTTTACACGTAATATTTCGTGTAACGTAGCAAACTTTAATATTTTTTTTAGAACTTTGAGATGGTCAATTTTAATTTAACTAGCCTTATTTT